ACCCTTCCATGATTCCCAGGAGTGTCCCAGCCCTGCAGCCCCGGCACCGAGGGGCTCCATCCCCCCTGGAGAGGCCCCCCCGGCCCCGATCCCCCCCTGGCTGGCCCCCCCATCCCCTGGAGCCGTGGATACTGGGTGTAGGTGAGCGGGATGCCGATCTGGTAGTCCCGGATGGCGTTGAGGACCCGCAGGTCCTGGCACATCCGCACGAAGCTCTCCGGGGGGAACTTGTCGAGGAAGCACTTCCCGAAGGAAGCTGCCTGTGGGATCGGGTGTGAAGGGGGAGGGAGGGAGGGAGGATCTCGGGCCTCCCCCTGCTCCCCCCCTCGCCCCGGCTCACCCTCAGCAGCGATTTCTGGGTGTGGGGCTCGTGCTCGTAGCCCGCGGCCTCGATGCACTGGCCCACGGCCTCGGGGAGCAGCTGCTGCTCCCGGATCTCCCGCAGGTACTCGTCGGCCTTCTGGCTCTCCTTCTGCGGGGAGGGGGAAGGGGGGGCCCCCGGGAATGGGGGGCACGGGGCTCAGGATGGGCCCCCGGGAATGGGGGACACGGAGCTCAGGGTGGGCCCCTGGGAATGGGGGACCCCCAGGAATGAGGGACACGGAGTTCAGCATGGACCCCTGGGAATGGGGGGCACGGAGCTCAGGATGGGCCCCCAGGAATGGGGGACACAGGGCTCAGGATGGACTCCCAGGAATGGGGGACAGGGATCAGCTCAGGATGGGCCCCCAGGAATGGGGGACCTCCAGGAATGGGGGGGACAGAGCTCAGGATCGACCCCCAGGAATGGGGGACATGGAGCTCAGGATGGAGCCCTGGGAATGGGGTACACAGGGCTCAGGATGGGCCCCCAGGAATGGGGGACCCCCAGGAATGAGGGACATAGAGTTCAGTATGGACCCCTGGGAATGGGGGACATGGAGTGCTCAGGATGGACCCTTGGGAATGGGGGACTCCCTGGAATGGGGGACACAGAACACTCAGGATGGACCCTTGGGAATGGGGGACCCCTGGGAATAGGAGACACAGAATGCTCAGGAAGGAGCCCTGGGAATGGGGGACACACAGCTCAGGATGGATCCTTGGGAATGGGGGACTCCCTGGAATGGGGGACACAGAGTTCAGCATGGACCCCCAGAAATGGGGGACCCCCAGGAACGGGGACACAGAAAGCTCAGGATGGGCCCCCGGGATCCCAGCCCAGAAGGGGGGATGTACCTCGTACTCCTTCTGTGCCTCCAGCAGCAGAGCCCCCGGGGCCATGGAGGCAATCCTGAAGATTTCCTGGCTGGCCTCTGTGGGAATTGGGGTCAAACACACCCGAGGGGGTGCCCTGGGCCAGGGGTGTCACCTGCACCTGCTGGCACCGCTCCCACCTCCCTGTGCCCAGCACCACCCTGGCAGAGGGACTGTGGAATGGGGTGGGTGGGAAAGGACCTCAAATCCCACCCAGTGCCACCCCTGCCACAGGCAAGGATACCTCCCACTAGCCCAGGTTGCTCCAAGCCCTGTCCAACCTGGTCTTGGACACTCCCAGGGATGGGGCAGCCACATCCCAGGTGCCCAGCAGGGATCCCATCTCACCTGGGATCTCGTGCAGGAACTCGTGGGAGGTGCGGGACAGGATCCGGACCCCGTCCAGCTCGGGCACCAGGTGGGAATCCTCATCCAGGACAAAGCTGTGCTCCCGCTAAGGGCTGGGGGGGGACACGGCTCCGGGTGCAGCCCCAACCCCCCCACACTGCTCAGGGCACCACAGGGGAGGGTCCCTTCCTCCCCTTCTCCCTGCCAGGATGGGGCTGGGTGTCCCTGTAAATACCTGCCTCTGGGACAGGAGGAGGAATGACTTGGGAGGGAATGGGGGGACTGGGAGCATCCCATGGGACAGGGAAAGGGCCTGGGAGCCCCCACCCACCCTGGGCAGGGCCAGTACTCCCACCACAGGGAGTGGGACTCCCAGAATAGGGGGGGCTCTGGGGGGACCCCCGGGGACAGCAGTGAGCGGGACAGAGGCAGGAGTTCGGGCTGGGCTTTTGGGAACACCCCCGGCCCCCCTTCCCAAAGGATACCGGATGCACTCCGAGGAATTCCCCACCACCATGAGCTGCCTCTCCCAGGCCACCACCACGGCTCGCTGCCGGCTGCGGGGCCGCGTGCACCTGCGGGACCCCCACCCTTAACCCCTGCAGCCCCCCAGGGCTTGGGGGGACACCAGGGGGTCCCACAGAGCCCAGGGGACCCCCACCCATGAACCCCAGCCCCTGCAGCCCCCCAGGGCTTGAGGGGGGACACTGGGGGGTCCCACAGAGCCCAAGGGACCCCAACTTGGTAACCCCAGCCCCTGCAGCCCCCAGGGCTGAGTGGGGACACCGGGGGGTCCCACAGAGCCCAGGGGACCCCCACCCATGAACCCCAGCCCCTGCAGCCCCCCAGGGTTGGGGGGGGGCCCCAGGGGGGTCCCACAAAGCCCAAGGGACCCCCACCCATTAACCCCAGCCCCTGCAACCCCCAGGGCTGAATGGGGACACCGGGGGGTCCCACAGAGCCCAGAGGGGACCCCCACCCATTAACCCCGGCCCCTGCAGCCCCCCAGGGCTGGGGGGGGGACACTGGGGGCTCCCACAGAGCCCAGGGGACCCCGGTAAAGGCTCGGAGGGTCCCGGGTGGGCACTGCCAGGGGCAGGGGCGGGGCAGGGACCACCCACTCACCAAACCATCTGCCTGGGGGGGGATCGGACGGTGCTGTTGAACTCGCAGAACTTCTCCTGGGGGAGAGAGGGGGGGTCAGGGAACACACCTGGACAGGTGGGAAGGGCCCCGGTGGGAGCCAGGGATAAACTCAGAGGAAGGACACCCAAATTTTTACTTGTTTTTAACCAAACTAAACCAAGCCCGTTCTAACTCCAATTGAAGGAAATCAATAGCAAGAAAAGAATTTCACTTGTGCAAAGAAAAAAATGCCAGATTTCACATTTGGGCTTTGTTTTAGTCATAAAATCACTCATTAATTTTTTTGCCTCATTATTAAAAATACATCCCCACTGCTCTGGCTCCAGCAATGCAGAGCTGCTACACTCCTGAACTCCCTCCTCAAACTTCCAGCACGGCCACAGGCAGACAATTCTGACACATAACATGAATCAAATATTATATATTATATATGTACAGATGGGCTCCTGCAGCCCTGAGCCTGTGGGGACCCCCAGGGACCCTGTGTGACCCCCCAGGCTCACCTTGAGCGTGGCCAGGCCCATCCAGATGTATCCAGAGTCGCAGAACAGGGCAAGGAGCCGGTGGTTGAAGGACACAGCCATGTGCAGGAACGGCCCCGCCGAGGGGCTCAGCCCGGGGGGGGTCTGGGCAGCACAGGGGGGCACGTGGGGACACATCCTGGGCTCCCAGAGTGTCCTCCCGGGTGGGAGGGGCTGGGAGAGGGTGAGAGATGGGGGGCCCTTCCCTCCCACTCAGCCCTCGCCCCTCTGGGCAGGATGGGGCACAAATGGGACGGCGGAAGGGAGGAGATGGGGGAGAGGGTGGAGGGCTGGGAGCATCCTGTGGGACAAAGAAAGGACCTGGGAGCATCCCACGGGACAGGGAAAGGACCTGGGAGCATCCTATGGGACAGGGAAAGGACCTGGGAGCATCCCATGGGACAGGGAAGGACCTGGGAACATCCCATGGGACAGTGGGGACAGGGGAAGGACCTGGGAACATCCCCCGGGACACAGGGACAGGGGAAGGACCTGGGAACATCCTCTGGGACATTTGGGACAGGGGAAGGACCTGGAGCACCCCCTGGGACACAGGGACAGGGCCCACAGCCCCCCATTCCCACATTTCCTCACCACGCTGGAGCAGGAGGTGTTGTCCAGCAGGAAGAGCTCCGGTCCCACAGCCAGGAGCACCACGGTCACCCTGTCCTGGGACAGCACAGCCCAGCACCCCGGGGGCTGCTGCAGCCCTGGGGGGACAGTGTGAGACAGGCACGGGGGCACAGGGGGGCACAGGGGGACACAGGGGACACAGGGGGACACAGGGGACACAGGGGACACAAGGGGGCACAGGGGACACAGGGGGACACAGGGGGACACAGGGGAACACAAGGGACACAGGGGAACACCGGGGGGCACAGGGGACACAGGGGACACAGGGGGG